CGATTACTGTCATTTGAGATGAATCTTATCTGAAAACTCTCTTGAGCTCTCACTATTTCTTTGATCTCCATCATAACAATGTTGATATGTCCTGTCTAAAGACATCGCTTTTTAAAGTATCAACCAATAATTTCAAATCAGACTCAAAAATAACTCTTAAATACCCTGTATCCACAGCAATATGGAGGTTCCTCAACAAAGCCCATGCTTCTGCTTTTAACTGTTACTCAAGACATGGGGATACTTGCATATTAGGACTTTTTGTTACTGAAGTTTGAAGAAACTTAGCCATGACATAATGTTCATGTCATACATTTTTCTAAGTAGATTTGTTTAACACAAAGGGTCAAGAACTAAACTTTCAATCACTCGGTGCCTGGGTGGATTTGTGTTCAAAATTAATTATTTGTACGAAATTATGTTTCCATAAAAATTATCCAAACACCTCTTCTTTCACATGATCGATTATCTTACCTTAAATGGCGTTCTGGTTGAAGTTGATCGCTCGTACTTCTCAAGATCGATTATAATTTTTGGGACATTTATTTTTGTTAAAATTTTGAATCTGCTGGAGATAGCCCTTTCATTGTATGGATCATGACTAAATCCTTCTACCGATCATTCTCTGATCTTACCTGCATCCTCACAAGAACGTGTTTGCATCTTCTTCCTCCAGTGACCGCTAGCATTCAAGTGTGACCTCCCTCTTCACTCTACCATGAACATCGTTCAAATCTCTGACACCCTCCTCTTCGACCTGCAACTCTTCTTCCATGATTTGTGATTTCATCTTCCTCGATCTAATCTATTAATGCGTGCCTTCAATAGAAAATGCAGAGACAGAGGTGGCTTGACAAGGTAATGGGAGTCAAGGTGTTAATTGAGAGAAGGTGGGTGAGATGATTCATAGATGAAGACCATGCTCCTCTTCTTTTTGGGTGATGCTTTCCTTTTCATTTTGTATAGATTAAGTTATTCACATTATAATATAATATATATATTTTAAATTTATATTGTTTATCATATGTGTTAAATAACTATATAAATGAGTATTATATTTTGTTGTTAAATAAATAAAAAATAAATTTAATGATATTATAAGCAATTTTATCAATATTTATCCTAAAACTCACGTCCTTTATTGTAATTTAAACATGTTAAATTAATTTTGATAAAAATTATTCAAACATCTTAAATTTATGAAAATTAATTTCAAAAAATACTATTCAAACACCATTAAATTATAACATAATTACTTATAATTAAAACTTATTCTATTAATCAATTTTTTATAATAAATTATACTACCGTTGGTGTAGAGCACAAAAACCCTATATTTAGTTGAAAATTATACTTGGAGGCTAACTCACACAATGGATTTGAGAGTAATAACCTTTCAATACATCAAAACATGTTGATACCCGTAAAGAAGCCATTAATTTCTTCAAAAAATGACTAAAAAAATTACTTCTTATAGAATTACACAGTTGTTGTTTTACTATGTTGACTTGTCAAAGAAGCTTGTAATATTTTCACATGCAGTTCCTTCTGAGCTGTCATATCTTGACCGATGGAAATGTTGAAAAAATTATATTCATAGCTGTTTTTATGTTGAGAAAAGAAAACCTTGCGAAGAAAAACTAAAAAAAAATAGATAAAACTGGGAAATGGAGACAGACCTCCGCAATTGAAAATAAGTAACCCACCAGAATTTAGCTTCCAAGAGAACTAATAGGATCTTTTGTCATGAAATTTTCCTTTTCCCAAGCATCTAGTATTCATGACAAATCCGATTTAGTTGCATGTGTTGCTTTTACAACCAATAACTTGAGTGAGTAGGGCTTATATAAGCTAAGTTTATTAAATCAGATTTAAAATACTTAAACATGTAAAAAAAAAACTTATACAGTCCAATTCAATCCTAACACTTTAGGCTTTTGGGTTTATTCGCATTGATCTAAATATTAATTATCAAATAATATTTTATTTTATTTTATTTTTACAATTTAAATTTTTATCTTAAAAAGTAAAATTTGTCAAGCAACATAACACAACAACACACTTTTTTTATCTTTATTAAAAATAGACCCAGCATTGAAAGAATAAAAATGAAAGTATATGAAATAACTTTTTATATTTATTTTTTCTTATTCTTTTAAAAAATATTTAAAACAAAGAGTTAATAAAATATTAAAACTTCATTTAAGAATATGAAATTTACAAACGAGCTAAATGAGGGTTTGTAAGTGTTTTTTTTTTTAAATAATACTGAAAATTCATTAAAGACTATCATCTTTCATTATCTTTCACTTAGAGTTGACTTTTCTCTGTAACGAGCATAAACCCAAAAAGAGAATCCATCTCAAAAGACTAGTATATTAGATTTGAGAGTCCCTCTCATTTATAAATCTCACACCACTTATATGGCTCCCCAATATGAGACTCGTGACAATGTCACCCTATTGAGAGCTGACATCCACAGCAAACTCATTCAACGATACTTCACTCAGCCTCCCATCAATCAAAACCCTGTGGGTAGCCTTTTTTGTGACACTGGCCATTCAATGAAAGTACTAACATAATGAGCACAAGTTTAAAGGAAAAGCCCATCCCAAAGAACTAGTCCAGTAAAAGGGAGAGGCCTTTAAATTTATAAATCCTACAACACTTGTGAGGCTCCCCAATGTGAGACCTGTTACAATAATGTAATGAACACAAGTTCAAAAAAAGACTAACCTATTAAATGGGAGAACCTCTTACACTTATAAATCTCACTTTACTTATGAGGCTCCTTAATATGATACTCGTGACAATGGCACCTCGTCAAGAGTCGATGTCCCCAACGGCTTTTATTCCACGGCACTTTACTCAACCTCTTGCCATCAGAACCCTTCATAGATAACTCTTTTTCGTGATACTAGCTCTCTCAATTAAAACATCAATGTAACGAGTATAAATTTAAAAGGATAATCCATGATGCTGTGCAACAGCATCTTTTTCATGAATGACGCTGTGCAACAGCATCTTGATAGAGGAGTCATAGAAGAGATTAAGGGGCTAACGGGACGAAGCTAAGTAGAGATTCACCATGTGTTAGCTTGGGAAAAGCGCGTCGAAGAATCAAATCCATGTGAATTTCAAGTCATTAATAATTATATTTGATTAAAAAATATAACCATTTTTTATTATATTTGCTTAAGAAATATCACAAGTAAAAAAATGTCAATGCCTCTAAAACATTATTACAACAAAAAGTAATAAATTACTTCAAGGGTAAAGGAAAAAAATGTTATTAAATATTATTTTGAAATAATAAAAAAATATAAAATTAAATTTGCTAGAATTGAACTTTCAACTTCAAGTGTTTGTTTAAAGCACAAAAATCGAGTAACCTTTCAATTATATCAAAGAATGTCTATATTCCTTATAACACAAAAAAGAAATCGTAGCTAAAGTACAAAAGTCCACACGATCCTGCTTAGTTTTAAAACTTTTATATTTATTTTAAGATAAGTAGATAAATTATTTTTTAAATTTTAAATTTAATAACACTATATACTCTTAATATAATTTTTATTATTAACAAAAGTTAATTTTGAAAATTAATTGATTAGAAAATGACAAAAAAATTACAAAAATAAACTAAATTCTTTGTCAATTTTTTTTATTTTCTGTAATTTTTTTGATGATTTTACGTTATTTTTTTTGATTAACTAATGATCAAAATTAATTTTAAAAATAATAATTTTTAAATTATATAAATGACAATTTAATTTCTCCAAATGTCATGATTTCAATGCAGTCTTTGAAGATTTTTGTGTCAATAAATTTTAAGGTAAAAAATTATTTTACACTTATTGAAAATAACAAGCCCCAATTGTAACTTTTATTTAAGGAATCACAATTTCTATTATATAAATCACAACAGTTATTAAGATTGAAAAACAAACCCCAATCATAATTTTTGCTTAAAAAATAATGACTTTTGTCAAGCATATCACAAGATATTATAATTTATTAAGCATAATTTATGTTATTAAAAAATAAGTTTTTAAAATAACAAAACTCATTTACAATTTTTATTTAAAGAATTACATTTTTATTCAAAGAATCACAAGAACTAAATAAAAACTTACAACTTATCAATAAAGGTAAAATAATTTTTCATTTAAAATGTATTGATAAATAAGTTTCTAAAAGATTTATTAAAATTATAACATTTTAAAAATTATATTGTCATTTATATAATTTGAATAAATTTTATTATCATTTTTTCATTAATTTTTAATAACAACAAAGACCATATTGCATCATTTTTAAAAATTGAGGTAATAATTTACACAACAAACAAATTTTTAATCTATAATGCTATTAGACTTAAATTTACAAAATAATTTACTTATTTACTCCTTATTTTAACTTGGTGTAGAATTATAAACAATTAAAAGACAAAAATGTCTTAAAATTTTTTTTCTAAAAGCGTTGAATGTCTTAAACTTTTGTTTGGAATAATTTTACTTTAAAACTTAAAAAAAAAGAATAATTTTTCCTCTTTGTTGTTAGCATTCGCATTCAATGATCATGTGATGACATGATCATTGAATGCTCATCAAGTCCAGAATTTCATTTCAATTCAAATTGATATAGACCATTCATTTAAATTAATTTTTAAATTTTTTTTATATTATATTTATTAAAATAAAAATGTAAAAAATTTTAATATTAAATCTGAACTATATAAAATTATTTAAATAATTAATTTGTAAATTTATAATTTTTTTAATATTAGATTAAGTCACCTAAATTATATCTAAATTATCTAGAGTTTATCTGGATAGTTAAATTATAATTTTTTTAATATTAAATTAAATTATTAAATTAAATCTATACTGACCAAATTAATAATAAACATATTTATTAAAATTTTTTATATTTTTATATTAATAAATATAATATTAAAAATATTTTAAAATTAATTTAAATGAATGGTAGGAATCAAATTTAAATTGAAATGGAGGGCAATTTAGATTGAAATGAAGGCCAGAATTGCTCCTGCTCTTATGAGCACCGAATACGTGTGGCTTCTCTTCTCTTCTACTCTGTCTTCTTCCTCAGTATCTCCTCTTCTCGATCTCGTTCCCTGTGTACCATGCAGAAGCCCCATCAAAACACTGTAAAAGAAAAAAAAAAAAAAAAACTCTGTGCACCATGTTTCTCAAAAAACGTCAGGTGAAGATGAAAGCCACTTGTGCCAAACTCTACCAACCGAAACCAATGTCTGAACTCATACAACAAGCTATATAAAATTTTACAGAAATGCAAACTTAAAAAAGACCCGTTGAACTCATAATCTAAGCCAATCACAACAATATCCAAGCAAAACCTAGATCACAAACCTATTGAAGCAAAACCCAGACCAAAAAAAAAAAAAACGAAAAAAGATCACCGTGAAATCAAAACTTGATCACCATGAAGAACAATTAGGAAAGCTCAAAGTTTTGGAATAAATAAAACTGAAAGAGATGCTAAGCAACAATCTCAGATCAAACCTCTTAATGATGAAGGAGGAGGAAACAAAAGGTGCCTTGACAAGTGGACCCTTCGTCTAGTGTCTCCACCGACTTATGCCTCTAGAATCTTTAACATCGGTGCCATCAGGACCCTTTTCAACAAGGAGAATGCTTTCGCCGGCCTCAAGCTCCCCAATCTCGCAACGTACAGACTACAGATTCTCGCCAGAACTCTTGAAGCCACTACTTCCATGCTGTTCATTTTCCTCCATTGTTATCAACTATAAGATCCCCTTCCTGGAAGCCCCTAAATCTCACCCTCTCAATATTAAGAACAGAGATTCTCGCAATTCATCGATCTAGTAACTGACTTTCTAAGATGGCTCAACTGTGAATCGAACGCAAGTATACCCACTTGAAGGCAAATTACAGAATCGTTGCAAGACTGAAAATGGAGGTGCAGAGAGAAAAAAAATTGGCATTTTGATATGGAATTGAGGTCGGTGGTTGAGATACCGAATCAGGGCTTGGAGATGATAGGCGACGAAATCAGAGCGACTGGGCGGTGATGGGTTGAGGAGGAAGTGGCGAAGAGATCAAAAGAACGGAGAAGAGGAGACGACTGAGGAAGAAGAGAGTCACGTGGATCAAATTTTTTTTTTTAAATGCCGTGTGACTGCCACGTGCCAAATACATGGTCAACCTAACGAGAGCACCCTTTTCGAAAGTTTCAAAATAAAATTATCTTCAATGCTCTTAAAAAAAAATTCAAAACATTTTATCATTTAACCCAACTATAAATGTTATTAAATGCCAAATCACAACTTTCAGCTAATTATAATAATCTAATTTTCATCCCATTACTATCTCCTAAAAGTTTAGCTAACCATAAAGCATAATGACAGCAATAGATATCGTTTAATTCATGCAAGCAATCCCATTGGTCCAGGTCAAAAAAAAAAAAAAAAAACCTATCTAGTGAATAAAACTTGTCACATTCTTCGCCTTACAGAAATAAAACTCCCAAAGAAGCCATTAATTTCCCCCGAAAAAAAATACTAACAAAATTACTTCTTATATATTTCCAACTAAGCTGTCACATCTTGACCAATGGAAATGTTATAAAAATTATACTCATATCATGGCTGTTTTTATGTTAATAAAACCTTGCCGAAGATAACAAAAAATTAAGCTCGTGTTGGACAAGGCACAGTTAGAAAGAGAATAACAAAAATTAGGGGTCCCAGGCTCCTAGTAGAGATGAAACTGGGAATGGAGACAGACCTCCGCGAATGAAAATAAGTAATCCACCAGAGTTTAGCTTCCAGAGAGAACAGATAGGGTCTTTTGTCATGAAATTTTCCCCTTTCCCAGCAACTATAGAGAATACAGATACTCAATTCACCTTTTAACAGAAAAACCATTACTTCAACACCGTGAGTGAAGTAGAAGCTAGCAACCTAGAGGAATTATATGCCTGCTAAATACTACCTATAGACGTTTTGACTTGCATGATCATCATATAAAGGGAAGTGACCTGCAGGAGGAACCCCAACTGGTCCACTTGGATAAGGTCTTGAAATTCCATCACTGAAGGGCATCTGAGGAGTCAAATTCTGATAGGATGGGAAGATGGGATACCAATAATTACTGGAAGCCAGCAGACCTGCATCCAAAAAAGGATCAAAAGGAGGCTTCTTAGTTTCGAATCTTGACCCGCTTTCCAGGGAACGTGTGGCGAGAGATTGATGATGATCTGGAGAGAAATTCAATCTGCTACCAAAGTAAGGGCCTGTGCCAAGTTGGGTAACAGAAGTTCTCAAAATTTCTTTGTCAGGATAAAAGTTTGAACTCAAGCGAGATGCTGAATCAATAGCAGTGGATCTAGTAGGAACTTCATCGGAGAAATCTGTCGGTAGCCTGAACAGACCAGAACATCCAATGGGAATATCTAATCTCTCCTCGGTTTTACTTGCAGAAGCTAAAGTTTTAATGGCTTTACCATTGTAATCATTGTCTACTAGTGGCAACCTATTGAGTTCCTGCTGTAGTGATAACTTGGCTTGTCTAAGTGAGTCAAGTACACCACTTAACTCCAGAGGTTTATGAGGAACTAATGCATGGAAGTCATGTTTGTTCCTTGAACTGCTAGAAGTATCTTTCTGGGCCAGACCATTATAGACATCAGTGGAAAAAGAATTTGCTGGCCTGGAATCATTAGGCCCGAGACTATGTGGGCCTTGATGCTGTTTATCTGATGGCTGATGATGGTATATTTCTGAGCTCTTGTGATTTTTGTTGCCCATCAATGTGGAATCTGAATTTTCTTGAGCAATCAAGCCAGAACTGCTGACACTCGCACTATTATGATTGTTGTGACTGCCAATATCATGTGATTTTAGCACATTGCCGCTGGTTTCAGCAGCTTCTGATTTTGCCTCCTGATCTTCTTTGGCAACCACCCTAACAAAGGATGGAGTCTGGGCCTTGCTCTCTTCTCGTTCCTCGGTGATATCTGAGTAGTTTCCGGGATCACATGAGTCCTACATGATTTAAGACCAAAAACAGACTGAGTCAGGATTTCAAACGGACCGCACACAAAAAAAAAAAAAAATCATTTAGCATACACCGCTAATTGACAAATAACACACGAGACGATATTGGTAAATAGCACTCAACTTACTGGAGAATCTAAAGCCATGCTTCATTCTATCATTGGATTCAAGCAAGCTATGGGAATTGCAAACTTCTGAAGAAGGCGAATAAAAAATTTGGACTTCCAAATGCTACAACCTCTAGGCTAGTCCAGCTGAAAATGTTCTGAAACATACGTAGCATAACACAATATAGAAATGCCTCGTTCATTCTCAGGCGCATTCCATCATTCTTCCTAAATTGTTTTCCACATTTTGTCAACAGTATCTTAACTAGGCAGATTGGCTTACTTTGGCAAGTGGGTTCTCTGATAAATTTATGTGTGTTGTAGCAAAAGGCAAGCTTACTTGAAAGATTCCAAAATCTACTTCTACGTCCAAACTCTTCAACCATATCATAAAAAATTTATACAAAAAGAAGGTTCCCGTGGGTTTTCAACATGGTCTAGAATTCTATGAATAAGGGAAACAGAATTAATTCAATTTGGACTGTGAAATTTGTTTCACTTGCACATTCTTTTAGGCCATCATTTCACTTGCACATAAGATAACAATGAAAGAGAATCTGAAGATAGGCTCAACAAGCAAAGAAAATTCAATTATGCAATACAATCTTGAACACAGCCTTTGCACAAACGTAATGGACAGTAAGGGAACAGGGCCTCAGCTATAAAAGTCAAAGGTCCACACTTGACCGGCTGCTTCAACTGAAAAAACCATGAACAGTAACTAGTGCGGTCCAAAACTTATCCCCAATCAGTGAACAGCAAAATTGGTCAATAACCAGACAGCTGGACAAAATCGAAGGCTTTAGAAAAACAGGTTTAGAAAAAAATAAACTACAAATCTGGCTTTTTCCTTAAGAGAGAGCTTGATCCATTGAACTTATCCTCCACCAAACTATAAACCATGAACACGCAAAGCAAGCATTGGACTAGTGGAGCATGTTTAACTAAACATCCCCTTTAAGCCAACTTAGCGGTGTCATAAATGAATTCCTATGATCAAGTTAAGATCCTTTCAAATCTCAAAATGCACTCTAGTAAGATCTACTGTTGTGCTTTTGTTTGCATATGCCAAATAAAATTCAGGTCCCATTCTTCAATGATTTCTGCTCGTTTTCATTTTCAATGAACAAGAGAGTAGAGACTTGAGAGTTTTCAATGATGGACATGGTGTACCTCACAGATTTATAATGACATAGCTGGAATTAACTATCATTTCCAAATATTGCATGTTATTCTGCTCTCGTTGAAAGCACAAGGAAGACTAAAATAAGCAAAAAGCAGAAACCAGACGGCCCTCCCCTTCCCATACAAATTTAGTTTTAACTTCAGAGTGAAAGACCAATAGTGGACTTTTGGTGAGGCTTTCAGTTAATTAGATAGGAGGTGAGTCATATGACATTGAGGAAAAGTCATTGCAGTATGGCGTTCCAGGCTTGAAACATAGGTCTGAGGAAATCCATGTTTTTCTTCCAGGCTCAAAAATAGATGGTAAGCCCTGCTCATGATTTGTTCAGTCTGATGTTTTTTGTCAACCCACTAGTTGTATTGATGAAGGAACTTAAACCATTAGTTGAGGGGTGGAAATTGGTTTATGCAAGCGTTGAAGTTGAAACAGAAATGCAAATGACTTACTACAACCACCTACTCCACTTTCAAAACATATATAATATATATATATAAAGCTCTTTAAAATGCCAAAACAGTATTTCCCTAATGCAAATCAAATCCCCTTTTATGCCCGTTCAGGAAGTGTTGCTTTCTTCAAGGGCCAACAAAATTGTTATAAGACTTTTTGAGCCACAATACCACATTGCCAAGGGCAAAACGAAGCTGTAAGCAAGAGAATAACAAATTATAGCAGAACTAATACAAAACTAAAAATGTAACGAGACATATCTACCCTGATAAATTTTCTTGGGTAATATACCTTATGAAAAAAAGCAATTTCTTGAAAATTCAAATCAAACAAAGGATATCAAAACCCACATTTTAGCCAACCTCCCAAAGCCATAGATGCACAATCATACAGCAATAAGGTTTACAGTAGTAACACATAGAGAGGATATGGCTCAAATAGTTTATGGTGTAGCATACCGGTGTACTGTTGTTATTCTCTGTAAATTTCTCTTCCCACTCTCTTTGAGCCTTCTCCATTTCTTCATATCGGCCAATGAGTTGGGCCTGCTGTTCAAGTGCCTTTTCCATGTCCCTCTCTTCAGCATATGCATCTAAGTTATAATTATTGTTGGCAAGCTTCATCTCTGATTTACCCTTTTCCTGAATTATAGATTCTGTTCTCAGAAAGTCAGAACCACTGTCCGAACATTTGGACCTCCCTCAGAAGAGCGGACAACTTTTTCTTGGCCATTAACTTTGACAAGTTCATCCCTAGATTCCTCAACTACAGATCTGTGGGGAAAAAAACTTTTGAATTTAAAAGAAAGAAAACAAGAGAGCAGACTAGGAGATAAACATAACCGAATTCAAGAGTTTATGCTTGTTGATCTAGGAGCATCATAGAGCATTCCCTTTGGAAGCAGAAATATTCAATTCATTTTAATACTTTTTTTTTTTTGGGAACAGATTTTAGTGCTTCATTAGTTACTTTCTATCAGATAATATTTTCTCAAACCTGTAAGCTCTCTTAGAGAGTGTCAAATAAATTGCGGCACGATGAGATCTACAAGTTCATGTTCTACCTCAGGCGATGACAAACTGTCAAACTTAGATTTGAATTTATATGCTCAAAGTGCATTGAGTTTATGACATGTAGGAGCTGTTCTGGTAAAACTTGTCTGTTAGGAAGTGCAATTCTAGAGGAAGGAAAGAGTGCAATGGACAAATAAGATAATAAGTTTTATGAAAAGACTTCACAGCAAAGGAAAAAGGGCATTAACTCAAGTAGACAAATGTAAAAGCAAGTTAAAAACCTAATAACCATTACAATTGAAATCATCTTGAACTTTCAAGAAGTGAAGAAAAGCCAATTAAAAACTTTATGGCAATGCACGATTTTCCCTGTGCTTCATAATATTTTGTTGGAGCAGGATGGTCAATTTTCAAGGTTGCCTCTTGCCCTAAGATGTCTTATAGGCTAGGATCAAGCAGCCTCTCTTTGGGGGATTAGAATCAAGTTTAATTCTAAAAAAGTGTTGTTAGAGGCGTGTAAAGGAGAGGAAGTTAGAGTTACTTGTGATACTTGTACGACAAGCCACAGTTGAGCCTAGTTTGAGGTCATTAAGCCTAGCCCTTGACCATATGAAGGGGCAGAATACTCAGGTAAACCTTCAGAAGTAACAAATAGAACAATTGAAAGGAAGAAGTGAAAGGAACTCTGCACCAAGAAGTGTAAATCAAGCACAACTCTCAGAAACCAACCAAAAGATACATTGCTCAAACAATAAGCAGACTCGAAGATGGTGACTGAGAATGTCAAAGCAATAATCTAATTATTAAAAAAATTACCAACTTACCTGGTTTCTCTACATTTAATCTGGCGGCATGATCTTCCAAGGCGATGCTTTGCAGAACCAACAGATGAAAAAATACTCCGTCTTCTCACATTATAATTCTTGTACTTTTCATAGGAGTGTGGAGATTGATGCGACCCTTCCAAGATAAGCTTCTACCAGCTACTGGTGAAGAATCTGGATCAGAACCTGACATCTCATTTGAATCATGTCTTCTTCCTTTAGAGCTCAGAGACCTCTCTTCCCCTTTTGTGGAATCATTACCAGCACCAGATTCACAAGGCATTTCCTCATCTGAAACCAAATCAAATTCCTCAGAAAAATCAGTTATCCCTTGATTCTCCAAAATAGCAAGAACATCCGCCGTTGCCTTCTCAGCCTTCTTTCTCTGAAGAGTCACCAACTTCAGCTGTTCCTCCAATTCCTTGACCTGATTGACACATTTAACAACAAAGAGTTACGAAAGGGTCAAGCAAAATATCAAACAAGGTTAATTCCAAGAGACCATGAAGTAGCTTAGAAAAACAGTACCCTTTTTGCTAATTCATCAGCTCTTTGTCTTGCACTTCTTGAGACAGATCTTTCAGAAAGCAGCCTTGCTCGGAGGAATTCAATAGTCATTGCATTGGAATCCTCCATGTTGGAAGTTTACCTTAGTTGCGCCTAATTAATATGGTTCAAAGAAAATCTGGTATTGAAAAGAAAAAAAATACTCAACATTAGCTTTGATACCAAAAATCAAACTATCTTAAATGGGAAGAAAAATAAAAATAAAAATAAAAAATACAGACGAGTGCTCTATTGTGTAGTGCTAAACATGTATTGAAATGCAACGAATTTCTTCGTTGCTTTCTTCACAATTTACTGTTATACACTAGCCATGGCTGGATAATCTATGGGTCTACTTAAAGTAACTATTAAAGCTTCTGATGAATGCTTCCATGACATTACAAACAAACAACAACAACAAACAACAACAGCCTTTACCCACTATTGGGGTCGGCTACATGGATTGCAAGACGATTGTACTCTATCATTTATTAAACTTTTAGAATATTATTAATTAAGAGATCACGTTCAACAACTTCCAAGAGTGTCTCTTAGGCCTTCCTCTACCTCTTTAATCGGACTCAAAGTTATATGTTCCACTCTTCTCACTGGTGCTTGGTCTTCTTGTACATGCCCAAACCATCTCAACCGATTTTCTAAAACCATTTTTTCCTCAATAGTGCCACCCTCACTTTTTCACGTATGTGCTCATTTCGAATTTTATCTTTACGTGTATGTCCGCACATCCATCGTAACATTCTCATCTCTGCTACTACTCAACTTTATGCTCTTGCTTCCCGTTAGAGCCCAGCATTCACTACTATATAACATTGCTGATAAGCAGTACGATAAAACTTTCTTTTAAGTTAACAATTAACAACGGTCACAAAAGCTTTTCTCCAATACAAAAACAAAAAAAAACAAAAGAAAAACAAAAAAAACAAACAAACAAAATTAATCAGGATGTATGTTAATTTTCCAAATTAGCAAAATGGCCTTCCCTTCCTCAGATCACCTGTTATGTTACCCATCAATTTCTTCTTCACATCATCCCCACTATCATCACCAGCATACATGTTGGAAAGCACAACCCTGTAAAAGCTATTAACTGGAGCATTCTCAAAGAGCAAACAAGCTACTGTTTAAATCAGCTCAGTGTTTTCAAACTTAAGCCATGTTCTTAATGGACAATTCTTAGCAAGCTAGAATCTGAAACACTTAAAAGCATATTGTGTATCCATCTAGCTCATTCCTAGCACATTGCATTGCATTAAATATTTGCATCCTTTATCATCGAAAGAAACCAGAATAATCATAACCATAATCAATGAATTCGCAAAACCAACCCAGTTGAGGTATCCCATTATACAGTTCACTCCATTAAGGAGACCAATTTTGAATAAGCTGTCACAAGTACACTACAACAAAGAGAGTCCAATCCTAGTCAAGAGACTATGGTCCTCTCATGAACAGGTCTCAGTCTAGCTAAATCAATATTCTCAAAGCATGAACATAAAATACATGCAAAAGTGAAACTACCCAGGTATTATGAATTTTGTGAGCATGCTATTAAGGAGAGAAAATGCTTTGCCAAATCTCTGGCCTTGAGTATAAACTCAAGGATAAGAACTCTAAGGTAGATGCTTTGAGTGGAGGTTTTGTCAAACGCATGGCAGGCAATGTTCGTTGTCATTAAGTGATAACAGCCTAGCAATTTGAGTTGTTTAAAATGAGTCTTCAGAGAGATTGGGTTAATCACCAAAGCATGCAATGACTTGGCCCTCAATAAGGGCTTGCAAAATTTGCCAGGTTCAGATCGGAATAATTAAAAAAATGAAATCATCTTAAATTGAAAATGTCAGTTTATACACATTTTGGATCCCAGACATGTAATTACTACGAGAGACTAATGATATGTCTATTTCGCAAGTGGTGCACAATCTTCAAGTCTCATTCATTGAGTTTTTTAAGGAATTCTAGCTTAATGCTCCAGAAGATTCCTTAGAAAACACCAGAATGAAGAAATTTTTTTTTTTTTTTAAATCCCAAAAGGAAGCCTAAAAACAAATGCTTTTCATAGTAAGTCCAAGCATTATACACCAACCATATTAGCGGAACCACTATACATCTCTACGTTCCTGTTGGTCTATTTCCTTACATTTATCACAAACAGAGAAATGAAAGAAACAAATCATGCTAACAGTCCTCAAATCTGGACTTTCTTGTCAAAAGTGAGATCAAATAGTAGACAATTAGGATGGATGAATGCAGAAATTCTAGGAGCAATTTGACCAATTGGCCCCTGCCCCCAAGCTCCTCTTCTCAGCCAGCTGATAGTAATTTATTTAACTGGTAGGCAAGAGCCAACAAGAGCGGGAGGTCCTGGCTTTTTTAGCGTTAAAAAAAAAAAAAATCATAGAATCATAATTTTTCGAATGTAAAACTGATATCATGAGAGGCACAAAAATTAGATTCGAGAATCTCCAATTGATCGTTGACTCTCATATGGCACATCTCATAATTCCCCTTCATTCTCTCAAAAATCTCAAAAACCGCTCAGAGCCGGATCGATGCTACCAGGTATCATAACTCAGGTGCTCCCAATACATGATATCATAAACACAAACCAAAAATTAAATACGGAAACATGGATTCTTGAAAATAAAATTTTATGGGTTTTCGCTGCAAGCAAACGACGAGTAAAAATACTGTGGCAATTGTTCAGCGACATTAATCAACATTCCAGAGAGCACAACGACCAAACCACCAGAAAGAAAAGCTAAATAAACAGGGGCAACACTTGCAAAAACCAGAAATTAAAACCATACAGAATAAGCCATACCTCTCTGATCTTGCTGATCCAGCTCAAAGTCGTGCATACTCAAAGATAAACTCCAACCCCAACTGGAAATTCAGCTGTTCCGGCAATCAAAAAGGATGAATTCCAATCGTACACGTGAAAATCATACAAAACGTAGGTGTAAGATTGGGTTTACTGCAGACGGGAAGGTGCATGAACCCTAAAGAGAAGAACTTGTACTTTCAGAGTGGAGAGAAAATGAATGAGATGGTCGGGTCCTCTAGGAATGAACAAAGGAAGCTGCTGCTCATTTTTTTCCCCGCAAAACAGCTATCGCCAGGCACATCAACCGCGGGACCAGTGAGATGGTTTGATTAATTTCAATGTCTTGATCCCCTAATAAAATATTTATAATTTCAAAATAATACTTAAATTATAATTATAATATTTAAGGGTATTTTAAAAAAATTAATGCTTGAGTGTCCTTTAAAGTAAAAGGCATTATAAATAATTTATTTTTTAAAATTGCGCTGTTTATTTACTTACAATATTATTTGCCCAAAAAAATTACTTACAAATATTATTACATAGTTATAAATTTTAAATTAATATATGATGATATATTAATTTTTAACTCAATATAGATTGCACCATTTATTGCTTACAGATATTATTATAATAGAATATAATTTCAGTGGTAAAACTTACTTTTTTACATTGATTTCATAAGCCACGTTAATATAGGAGGTGGTGTAAAAAATATAAAAAAAAAATATATTTTCTACATCAGTGAATTATTTGAATTAAAAGCACCATTAATTACTATTCATTTTATGAAATGTTTTTTTTTCAAGATTTTCAATTTTCAATAATCCTTGCAATGTACATAGGGGGTGAGAGCTAGTTTTTTAAAATAAAAAAAACAAAATAAAATGAATAGGAGGTATGATGCCTTTCATATACTTACATAATTATCATGAACATTCATTCAAAGCTGTTAAATTCACTCAATCATGAATATGTTATTTTCTTTTTGCATAGATATATAGTCAAGATTATTCTATACCCTATATAGTGGTAAGTGTACGTATGAGTCACAAACTCACTGCTATATCCATCTATATTTTTGATTTTACCCAGAAAAAAAACTATAGAATATGAAAGAATGATTAGAGGAGGATCCAAGCTCGGCCTCCATTGATATGGAACTTCTTAAGTCTCCCAAAAAGCATCACCATTGTCAGAATGGTCTTCCCTTGAGGGCTCCATATCTTCCACGAAACCGGTCGACTTGTCCTCGCAATGCTCCTCTACACTTATCCTTCCCTCACATTTGTATCCCATCAAAAATCCCACATTCCCGTATGCACTACACATTCATTCAATTTGTTGAGGTTATGACTCAAATTTCTATAATTTATTGGACACATGTATACAACTACGTCAATGATGCCTGCATGTTTTCCAATTTGGATGCATAGTTTTTGTTTGGTTTAAATTATCTGATAACTTCAAACACTATGTTGAAGACACTGCAGTTAAAAGGATCATGCTTGAGATGTTTGCTCCCAGTGATGCAGATCATTATGACAAAAACTACTAGATATGAGAGTTGAGACATTATTATAATTCTCTGCTAATCTTCCTCTGCTCTTCCTGCTTCTGATCCTTGGATCTCTTTGACACGTGCACAGTGTAAAATCAAGATGCATCAGAATAAAAAATTTAGAAAATATTTACACTTGTTTTGGATCAAATTAAAACGAATAAATTTTAAGTTAAGAATGTAGTTAAAAAGTGTTAATAGCAATCACAATGATTCAGTGTCATGCATGTTAAGTTATTATGCATATAAAAATATCCATTCATCTAAATTTTATTTTAAAAAATATATTAAGTATATAATTAATTTAAGTAGTTTATTTTTTATCTAATTAGTGACATGTTAATTAATTGAATAATGAATTTAATTTCCCACAGCAACAAATTGATTGCATGCAACATAGAAGGAAAATAACTTCATACCAATTTACCTTTTCTGTATTACACTTTTATAATTGTGTTTAACTCATATGAAAGAAAAACGACATTTTCAGATTACTTGGAATTCTACTTAAATTGTTTTTTATTAAGCACACAACACAATACATGTCTTCATCAACTCCACTACATATCCTAGAGCTTGCATTTTGGCTTTAGGTCGATTGTGTTGAATAAATTATTGGTCGAAAAGAAAAATTATCTAATCTAATCTAAATACTATAGAATATGATTATTCATTTTGCAATGATTGTCCTATGAAAATAACCAATGATTAATTGAGTTAAAGGCATTGATAGACGCAAGCCTGACCCATTTCGAATATTAATAATTGAAAAAAGGAAAGACTATATATTTAGATATGACGCAGGAAGATAAACATCAAAATAAATTACATATTTCTCACATATAGATGCCCAATCATGCAAATGAAATATTATTCTAGTCCAAAAAAATAATAATATCAAAATGTATGGTATAGCGCTAATTCATTGCACAAGAAAGTCATTTAATTTTTTTGCATTATATAATATTTGGATAATGGATAACGTATATAATTGAAAGCTGAATTATTCAATTATCAGAACAAATTCATGCATCCTAATTAAGAGAATTCAAGCCAGGCACATCTTTGAAAGACATTAAATGGATCTAGATTTTGTAAGTGTTCCAGGTCCGATCCCGCGTCTCATAATAGTGTCCAAACTCTATATCCATGGGATTTCATCAAAAGTTCAAAATTCATGCTTGACCGGAAATTAATTAATTAATGAAGGGGTGAGTTAAAAGAAACTTTTAATTATGAAAAGTCTTTTGTCAAATTATTTTTTCTTCTTCCAAATCCTACTTTCTTTCTAGATATATCCAGTCTATCCAAAATTTTATGCTTCTTTGTTGCAATACCATTTTTTTTTTTTTTTTGCCTCTTGATCTGATGTATCGACTTAAAATGTAGAGTATTTACATCACTTTTCCTTGAAAAGTGACGTAGAAAGTTAGACAAACCAGACTCTAACTCTAATCATATCTGGATCTTTGTAAAGATTGAGTGAGAGAGAGAGAGGAGTGTGTGGTGAGATTATGGGTTGAAAGGATACTAAGTTACTGACATCATGACCACGAATAGAACCAGCATTGCAGGTGATGAGACGGAGAGATCCACGATGGATTCGCCTGCATGTCTTGAACTAAAACTCTCGAACATTATCCCAATCACTTTCCCGTACCAGCTGAGTCGCTCCAATGCTACAGTCCAATGCAACCACCATACCATACTATGAACCCTACAACGATGAACCTACAACAGTAACTAACAGAAACCTCGAATGCTTCCTCCTAAGCAAATGTTTGTACTCGATGACCTCCTGCGAATTCTTCTTCATCAAAAGGTGCTTGCTTTCCTCTTTCTTCACAAATTTCCCCAAAACCCTGATTGAGAATCTCAAGCAACAAGGATACAGTGTGTTCCCGAGAAGCATTTTGAGGAATCAGAATCATCAACAGACCAGAATTCTTAGCAAAAACAACCATGTTTTCGCTCGTGGGAACGAATTCACAGTTTGAGAATGTTGAAAACTACCGTGAACACAGAATGTGAACAGTTTCAATCCCTCTTTCAAAACTTTTTTTAGTACTCGAAACAGTGGGGAGGTAAACAGACACCATTGTTATACCTATGACTTGGACAATTACTTGATAACCTAAGACGACAAAACCAAGGTATTTTACACTACTACCTAGTGCAGATGACTCATCATTAATATCGGGTTCTGATCTTTTTTGCTCCATCTCCAACTCAAATGGGTCAAGAAGATCAAAAGTCACAGTGTTTTGGTGGGTTTTGAGCTTCAATCTGATGAAGAAGAGACCAATCATGGAGGTGAACACTTCACCTCCTAGTAACATTAATATGGTCATGACGATAAGTTGAGGTTAGAGAAAACTTCCATTTCAACAGTGGACATGCTTGACACTGTGGAGGCAGACAATGAGGTGAACAAATTGTCCAAGTTACTTGGCCTTCACTACTACAAAAAATGAATATTCAATTCAACAGGTCCATTAGCTTGAAGAAATTATGGTTCTGGGTTCGAT